GACAGTGCCAGAAGAGAGAGAGTCGTTAAAGATGTGTATTAAGGAAGGCACAAGACAGGGGGAGAGAGATCTGATAAGGTGAGATGGGACAGGATCGAGAGGGCAAGTGGTGGGGCGAGAGGAAAGGAGAAGCGCAGCCACCTCTTGTTCAGTAGCCAGGGATAAAGTATGAAGAGTAGGAAATGCATGATCTACGTGTGGTTGGGAAAGAGAACAGCAAGGTGGGAGGAATTCTTTCCTTAGATGTTCAATCTTGTCGGCAAAGTAGCATGCAAAGCTATCAGCTGTAAGGTTAGTGTGGGGGGTGTCCACAGCAGGGCGAAGAAGAGTTAAAGAGACACCTGGGATTGCGGGAGCATGAACTAATGAGAGAGGAAAAGTGTGACTGTTTGTCGAGGGCAAGGGCTGCGTTGTATGAACACAGTATGAATCTATAATGAAGAAAATCTAACTGGGTGCGAGACTTCCTCCAGGAACGTTCAGCACAATGGGAGCATCTTTGCAGGTAGCCCGTCGATTTAGTATGCCATGTTCGGGGCGTGTCTGGAGCAGGGCTGCAGAGTTCAAGACAGAAGTGAGGGTAGTGTTATATGTGAACATGGACAGTGAGGGACACGTGAGGGGAGGGATGGAAAATATCAGCTGACAGCTGCTGAAGGTCAATAGAATTAGGGTTCCCTTTCAGTTGAGATGGGTTAGGCAGGATGTTGGGTGAGGGGGTAGTCAAGAGCAAATGATAAGAGGTGGTGATCAGAGAGAGGAAATGGAGTGTTGCAGATATTAGATACTGTACATGCAGAAGAAAAAAAAAAATAAGGTTGAGGGAATTTCCAGCTACATGGGTGGGAGAATTAGCCCACTGTGATAGCCCAAGGGAGGAAGTAATTGAAAGTAGTTTAGAGTCTGCTGAGGTCAAAGGTGGGTTAAAGGGAATATTGAAGTCCCCAAGAACTAGGGATGGAATATTAGAAGAGAGAAAGTAGGGTAGTCAGGCAAAGTGGTCAAGGGAGAGGAGAGGGGAACCAGGGGGGAGATAAATAACGGCAATGTTTGCAGAGAAGGGTTTGAAGAGACAAATCAAATTAATTTCAAATAATGGGAAAGAGGGAAGGGGGTTGGGTAGAGGTTTGAGAAGAAATCCTACACCACCACCTTTACATTCAGAGTGTCTTGGGTTGTGGGTAAGTTGAGGACAACCACAGGACAAAGATGCAGGTGTAACAGTGTCAGAGGGGGAGAGCCATGTTTCTGTTAAGGCTAGAAAATCTAAATATTGCAAACAGAGGGTGCATTCCAGAGAGCAGTATTGAGGGAGGATTGAGAGGAAGAGTAACATGAGATGGGTATGAGATTGGTGTAGTTCCTTGAATTAGTACATGGTTGGTTTGCCGAGATGGGACCGGGGTTTGGAGAGACCTCACCAGCTGCTAGCAGTAGAAGGATAGAAAAGAAGTGAAGGTGGGAGAAGGATTTAAAAGTTTTGTAGGAGGGTATGTATATGGAGGATTTGGGTGAAGTTGGCGATAAGTTTTACTGTTTTCAACACACATTTGTGTTCAGCAAAGTCTCCTGAGTATAAGAATACCCCATGTACAGGTTTTATGGTGGTTTGGAAAGTTACAGGGTCAATATAGGGCTTGCCCAATTCAGATGGACAGATTGGTTTGCTAGGTCTATGTTGCCTTTTAAGACTATATGGTATCCCTGGAATGTGAAATAACCCCATCATGGTATACAATTTTCAAATGTAGACAACCCAGGGTATTCAAAATGGGGTATTTCCAGTCTTTTGCAGTCACTTAGTCACAAACGCTAGCCAAAGTTGGTGTTATTAGTTTAAAAAAAAAAGAAATTTACATGCAAAACATGCGGGCGATGTTTTTGAGGTGGAATTCGCATGATTTGACAACAGACCGAATGTGAGGCTCAAAGGAATCAAAAGTAACACCAAGACAACGTGCTTGTAAGGATGGGCTGATATGGGTACCACCAATCTGAAGGGAGGGCGAGAGAGGAGGATTAATATTAGGAGGAGGAAAGACAAGAAGTTCTGTTTTGGAAAGATTCAGTTTCAGAAAGCGGGAGGACATCCAATCAGAGATAGAAGAAAGGCAAGAGGTGACACGTTGCAGGACATCAGGGGTAAAGAGATATATCTGAGTGTCATCAGCTTACAGGTGGTATTTGAATCCAAAAGAGATAATAAGCTTGCCAAGAGAGGCAGTGTAAATAGAAAATAGAAGGGGACCAAGGACAGAGCCTTGAGGGACTCCAACTGAAACAGGACCAACGGTGGAGGTATCATTAGAAAAGGAGACGCTGAATGAGCATTGGGAGAGATGGGAGGAAAACCATGAGATGATAGAGTCACAGAGACTGAGTGATTGAAGAGTTTGAAGAAGGAGAACATGATCAACAGTGTCAAAAGCAGCAGAGCGGTCAAGAAGAATTAATATGGAGTAGTGACCTTTGGATTTAGCTGTGATAAGGTCATTAGTGACTTTGATAAGGGCAGTCTCAGTAGAGTAGAGGGGGCGGAAGCCAGACTGAAGAGGGTCGAGGAGAGACTAGGAGTTGAGGAAGCAGGCCAGATGGGTGAAGACTAGTCTTTCAAGAAGCTTTGAGGAAAAAGGGAGCAGGGATATAGGACAATAGTTAGAGGGGGAGGATGGGTCGAGACATGGTTTTTTTAAAGATGGGTACTACAGTAGCATGTTTCAGGACAGCAGGAACAGTGCCAGGAGAAAGAGAGCAGTTGAAGATGAGTGTTAAGGAGGGCACAAGACAAGAAGAGGGAGATCTAATAAGGTGAGATGGTACATGATCAAGCGGGCAAATGGTGGGGCGAGAGGAAAGGATAAGTGCAGCCACCTCTTGTTCAGTAGCCTGGGAGAAGGTCGGAAGGGCTGGAGAGGCATGATCCAGGGAAGATTGAAAAGGTGAGGGGCAAGGTGATGAGAATTCTTCCCTTATCTGTTCAATCATGTCAGTAAAGTAGGAAGCAAGACTATCAGCTGTAAGGTTAGTTTGGGGGGTGACCTCAGCAGGGCAAAAAAGAGTTAAAGGTATCAAAGAGACGCCTGGGATTGTGGGAGCATGAACGAATAAGAGAAGAAAAGTATGACTGTTTGGCAAGGGCAAGGGTTGTGCTGTATGAACGCAATATGAATTTGTAGTGTGGAAAGTCTGACTTGGTATGAGACTTCCTCCAGCAGCGTTCAGCAGAACAAGAACATCTTTGCAGGTAGCGTGTTGATTTAGTGTGCCATGGGAGTGTCCTCCTTGTGGTGTTTATTTGGAGAGGGGCTGCAGTGTCCAGGGCGGAGGTGAGGGTAGAGTTATATGAGGAGATAGCCAGTGAGGTACATGAGTGAGCAGGAATGGATAATAGTTGGGAATTGATATCAGCTGACAGCTGCTGGAGGTTTATAGAACTCAGATTCCTTCTGAGTTGAGGGGGGTTAGGTTTAGGTTGTTGGGGGAGGGAGCTATTGAGAGCAAATTATAGGAAATGATAATCTGAGAGAGAAATGGAGTGTTGCAGATGGTAGAGACTGTACAATCATGAGTGAAAATAAGGTCTAGAGTATCGCCTGCTACATTGGTGTGGGAATTAGTCCACTGTTATAGCCCAACGGAGGAGGTAACAGAAAGTTGTTTTGAGGCTGCGGAGGTCAAGGGTGAGTTAATGGGAATGTTGAAGTCTCCAAGAATTACAGATGGAATGTTAGAGATGAGGAAGTAAGGAAGCCAGGCAGCAAAGTGGTCAAGGAAGAGAAGTGGGGAACCAGGGGGACGATAGATAACCGCAATGTTAGCAGAGATGAGTTTAAAAAGGCGGATTGAATGAATCTCAAATGATGAGAAAGAGAGGGAAGGGGGTGTGGGTAGAGGTTTGAAGGACCACCAAAGGATAAAGAGGCAGGGGTGGCAGTGTCAGAGGGAGAGCGCCATGTTTCAGTTAATGCTAGTAATTGTTGGGAACGAGAGATGAAAAGATCATGCACAGCTGTGGATTTAGTAATACTGCAAATAGAGCATGCATTCCAGAGGGTAGTGTGGAAGGAGGATTTAACCCCTTCAGGGCGGAGTCAATAGTACACCTTCTGATTAAAACAAAATGTAAACAAAAACTGGAATTTACGCTTTATGTCTGTTCAACCGTAATTCACCTCTTTCATATTATATGCACCCACACGTATTATATATCATTTTGTTCAGAAGAAACAGGGCTTTCATTTCATATCAAATATTTTAAAATGAAATATAATTTATTATGAATAAAATTTAAAAAAAACTATGAAATTTTTGAATTTTTTTTTTAAAATTTGTAGTTCCGCCTCACATTTTAGCTGTAAATGTCATAATACTGTTAGCTTTCATTGAAAAAAAGCACATATTTGGATTCAGCAAAGTCTCAGAAGTACAACAGTAGCCCCCATTAACAGTTTTGCAAATGGTATGTCATCATGGGGGTAATTCTTATTCCTGGGCTACCATACGGTCTCAAAAGGCAACATAACCAATCTGGCAAATTTCAAATGTGAAAAAAATGAAATGCAAGCCTTATATTTGACTCTCTAACTTTCCAAAACACCATAAAACCTGTACTTGGGGGGTACGCTTTTACTCATGAGACTTTGCTGAACACACATAATGGTGTTTCAAAATGGTAACTTGTATTACAACAATAATATCGTCAGTAAAAGTGCCGTTCATGTGTGAAAAATGCAAAAACCGGCACTTTTACAAAAAATATAATTGTTGTAATACAAGTTACCATTTGGAAACACTAATATTTGTGTTCAGCGAAGTCTACTGAGTAAAACAGTACCCCCATGTACAGGTTTTATGGTGTCTTGGAAAGTTACAGGGTTAAATATAATGCTTGCAATTCAAATTCTCTGCACTTTTTGCCTGGGTTGTCAGGCAAGTCAATCAAATTTTAACTAATAAATCACATAATTATGTTAAAATATTAAATATACACATAGAATTTTAATATATATACATTTAAAGTCTACGTGTACACTTATGTAAATATATATATTTACATAAGTGTACACGTAGACTTTAAATACATATATGTGTATATATTAAAATTCTAAATATATATGCGGTTATTTGTAATTTATATATAGATATAGAATGTCATTCTAAGTGTATTTTGTTACATATACACACACACATATATATATATATATATATATATATATATATATATATTTAGAATGAAATTACATATATATTAAATTTAAAAATATTTTAATATTATTTTAATTATTGTAATTATACGTGTATATATAAATATATATTATATATAACGTCATTCTAATTGTATTTTAATACCAATATGTACTTATACTTTTACTTAATATTAAAATACATTACGTATGACGTTACATATATAAGATGTATATATTATATTTATAATATATTTTATATATAAATACATTTAATTTATTTTAAAACTTGTCTAATTATTTTTTATTTTTTTTTACACTACCCACCAGCAGGGGGACTGTCTGACATTTCAGACAGTCCCCCTGCTGGCAGATCCACAGCCAGCTATAGGGGGCCATGTGATCGCTCTTTGAGAGCGATCACATGGCCCCCCGGGCCTCATTTGCCAGGGTAGGGCTGCCTAGGCTGTCAGGCAGCCCCCCAGAAGAGGATCGCGGCGGAGGCAAGTAGTTGGTAGCTCTTGGGGCTGAAAGTTGTTACAGCGTTCTATGCCGCCGCAACGGCTTTAACCCCTTAAGGACACATGACGTGACATGTCATGATTCCCTTTTATTCCAGAAGTTTGGTCCTTAAGGGGTTAAAGCCCATTTAATGCAGGACGGCATAGAACGCTGTAACGGCGTTAAGGGGTTAAAGGAAGAGTATCGTGAAATGGGTATGAGATTGGAGTGATTGTTGGAGTTAGCACATGAAGGGTTTGCAAGTGTGGGACCGGGGTTTGGAGAAACATCACCAGCTGCTAGGAGTAGAAGGATAGAAAGGAAGAGAAAATGGGAGAAGGATTTAAAGGTTTTGTGAGTGTTTATATTTTGAGGATTTAGAAGGAGATGGTGGAGATAAGTTGGAAAGGTACAAGTTGAGTGCATGGGATGAATAAAGAGGGGAGGGAAGTAGGGTGGGAGCAATGAAAATTTTGTCAGCAGGAACAGGTATGCAGAATGACAGAAATTTTGGCAATGAGAGAAGTGAGGGTGAAGATAAAGAATATGAGGGAGAACATTTTATAAGAATGATGAGAGATTTTATATTATATAGAAGGGGAGTAGGAGTTTCAGTAATGCAGAATTAGATAAGATTGTATATTAGAGTTACAAGAGAGGTGTGAGGGGTTAAAAGGGCAGGAGTGTGATAATTAAGCAGGTGATGAGTGTTTGAGAGACAGTGTGTTTGGACTGTCTGGTAATTTGGCCTATCTATAAATGTAATGAGAAACTCGGTGTGGGGTGGTGTGGGGAGGGGTGGGTGGCACGTGGTTAGCATTTATGGTACTGTTTATAATCTGTCTTATTTCACTGTCCCTCACTACTTTCTGGGCTCTGCACAGGCCTAGTCAAGCATTCTTTAAAATTGTGTTGGTCATTTTTTTTGTCTGTTATATGGTTGTACAGCCAGATAAACGGCCCTCATCTAAGTATGTTATTGTCAAACTGCAAAGACATGCCACGAACCAGATGCACCACTTAGGTGTCACCAATAACCATACTAAATTGCAAGCAGTCTACTCAAATATTTGCAATATTCATTAAACCTCATTTAAAAGCTTAAAAAAACAAAACAAAAAAAAAAAACTTTTCATGTGAAGCGTAAAAAACTTTTTTTTTTAAATATATGCACACTCTAAATACAGTGGGTAGACAACAGCTCACATGAAGTGTGCAAGTAACTTACAGACTTTAGAGTCCACCCTTGGCTCTATGCATAATTCTCAGTAAAGGATATGGTGGCCAATCTTCATGTAAGGTGACATTATGAAGTCCCCACGAGAGACACAGTACCTCACACATATACGTTTATATTAGGCCCTCACTTGACCTTCCACATCATATGCTTCTTATGGCCCTCGGTGGACAACCTACTACAACCACCATTTTAAGACATTTTACATGTGTTGTGATCAGTGGTACCATATTAGTCAAATGCCTCATCATTATAATCTCTAATTAATTGTCCTGCCACTACAGGTCTCTCACTGGTAAAGTTGGTTATATACATGCTATGATATGGAGCAGGTCTGCCGTTGTGTTTCACTAATCCGCGTATTATCTCCAACTCCTGTCACTAGTACTTACTAGATCTCAAATATTTATCTTCCTGATAGTAAACTAGAGATGTTCCCATGTTTTTGATACATACTTCAGGTCCTTCTTGTGGAAGTATGCACAGTGGGAACTCTAAATTAGATGCAGCACTTTTAGGTGTCTATCTCATATAGAGATTGATTGTGTGACGAGACCAATCTCGCCACATTGCATTGGAGAAGCCTGGTTGCTCGCCTGCTGCCTTTGGACTATAGTCCCCTGTTAAAAGACATCTTTTTTACCTGCAGAAAAGCTTCATTCGTGCTTTTCTGCCTGGGGTTCGGTAGTTTTGGTTGAATGTGTTATACCCCAGATAGGAATCCCATGGAGCCCATTCGTATGAAACTGACTGTAAAGACTTTGGCTCCATGGCGATTAAACTGTATTCGTGTGGTCTGAGCACCATTCACTTAATAATGTGCGCTCAGACCTGAGCTATCTGGGGATATGTTACATGTCTGTGTTTTATGTAATAAATGTGACTTTATGTATTTTAAAGTGTTTTGTGTCTTTTTGCAACCATGTGCTTAATGGAGTCTTGTGTCTGTCCTGGGAGATAATTGAATTACTCTCCAGGATAGAAGACTCTGAAACTGGTTTGGGCTAGAAAGCCATGCTTCATTTAGTCACAAAGGACTTTTTACTAACTTTTGAACCCCTTGTCTGATTTGTGCCATTTTTGAATATGTTGTTCCCCTGAATGGATTGATTGTGTATATGTAATTTTATGTGAATGTGATGTATGGTTTTAGAGTTATGAAAGTTGGGTAGAAAGTATGTTTTAACTGTATGTGTAATTGAGTTTCCTCTCAGGATAAGGGGAGGGAATATGTGGGATGTAACTGTGATGTGATTGGTTGTTTTATACCTCCCTGTGGGCGGTCCTGTATTTGCAAGACTGTAATAAAAACCAGGCTGGGTGTGCCAGCACCTCAGACCACTGCTTGACCCTCAACACGGAGCCTTGTCTCGTTCTTGGGGGGATTCACTGTATGCTGTTAGAGACTGATTGCCAGGAGTGTAAGCTGATTGTCTGCTTTTCCTGTTCGTCTGCTAGCAGCTATTTGGGAGGTTCCAGTTCGGGAGTTGGAGTGCTACTTTGTATCCAGTTCGTGAGTTTTGGTGTTCTGCAGTAGCTGTGCCTGTATCTCTGGAAAGGGGGCCGATCGCCTTAAACGGTTTTTACCCCTTGTGTGCAAAATGGTCCGTTACAGATTGGCTTGGGTTTATGCTCATAATCATAAGTTCCATTATTATCTAGGTTTCTACTATCCCTACTTATTATCCTGTTCATGTTTTAATCTGTATCCACAACACAGGTACGTTATACCCTCATCTCAATTAGCACTTACACCATCCAGGGCATATTCCCACTAGCGTTCCCATTGTGTCTTTATGTTCCACTCTATGATATTCCATTCTCAAACTCAACCACATACAAGTTGGGCAAGAAATATACATTCTAACATATTTTCTATCAATTCATTACGTTTTTACTCCCCTACATTCCTTAGGGATAGATAATCTGGCTGTAATGGGTATAGGTGTGGACCATATTTTAGTATAATTGTAATTCAATCCCGCAAGGCCAACTCCCATCCTCAACCTGAGGTATTTGCCCATCGGTTCAACTCATAGCTAAAGCCTCACTCCAACCTCTCCAGGTTATTAGATAGGGCCTCACCTGTCACTCCCACCACTTTGTTTAGTGGCCTCAGTCTCTCAGCCAAAATCATAGCTAGACCCTCTCCGCCAAAATCATAGCTAGACCCTCTCCAAGCCACTTGGCATTAGCAGGGTGTTGCCTTCCCTTCCAGCATTTAGCAAGCTGACAGTTGATGCAGGGCTACACAGTCATTGACAATTCATCATAGAATGTCTCACACATCAGAACTAAGAAACATTGTCACTCACATGTACTACCATTACAACTTCCCCTAGCACTATCCAGCATACAGCTAGCCAGAGTTCCTTGGGATCTGGGAACTTTCCTAAGTTGCTGCTGAATGCAGATGTACAGACATACCATTCCAGCTACAGCTTGGAAGCTCAACTGTATAGCTTCATTATTGGCAACTGCAAAATCCCTGACTTGGTACCAGCGCTGTTCCCTCTTATGGATTTGTTTCCATTCCTAGGTGTTGCGCTGGCTTTAATTTCAACTGTAGGCCCCTCCATAGTCTTTTACGGGTACACTGGACTCTATCAAGAAGGAGTTAGCCTCCCCATACCTAGGGTCAAGCATATCGGAGAGATTTGGTGCCCTTCCATGGAAATTATGCCTACTCCTATTGGGATCTCCTTGGTTCTCTGAACATGCTGTGTGCATTTACCACAGAGTTGCTACTTCATCTCACACGTTTTTCTACTGACAATTGCACTGCGACACTTGATGCACGTTGCTCATACAGACTTGTTCATACGGCCGAACTCCCACTGGAACAAGAAAGTCATGATTCATTCCCCCACAATCTAACGATTCCCTTGTTCTCTGATCAAACACGGTTAACACACTGTATTTGCAACCATTTGCAAGGAGTAGCAATTCCATAACATATGTACCTAGTGGCCAGCAGTAAATCAGAACCGAACCCTCGTTATCATAACTTCAGTCCCCTTCGTAATCTACACCATCATGACTGCCACACACATCATAGTCTCCATAGAGGGGGCTATCACGCAAACTCAAGCCCACAGAATGTCTATGAGCTCTGTCCTAACAATTACATAGTCATTCAGGTATTGACTAGGCTGGCAGCAATGGCAA